ACTCACCTAATTGTGGTTGCAGGGGTCGAGTACTAGCTCCTGGCCCTGCGTGTGTGTATACTCACCTAATTGTGGTTGCAGGGGTCGAGTACTAGCTCCTGGCCCTGTGTGTGTGTGTGTGTGTACTCACCTAATTGTGGTTGCAGGGGTCGAGTACTAGCTCCTGGCCCTGCGTGTGTGTGTGTGTGTACTCACCTAGCTGAGGTTGCAGGGGTCGAGTCATAGCTCCTGGCCCTGTTTGTGTGTGTGTGTGTACTCACCTAGCTGACGTTGCAGGGGTCGAGTCCAAGCTCCTGGCCCCGCCTCTTCACTGATCGCTACTAGGTCACTCTCCCTGAACCGTGAGCTTTATCATACCTCTGCTTAAAGCTATGTATGGATCCTGCCTCCACTACATCGCTGTGTGTGTGTACTCACCTAATTGTGGTTGCGGGGGTCGAGTCATAGCTCCTGGCCCCCGCCTCTTCACCCTGTGAACTCCAGATAAAACGTAAACCCACCCTAGTCTTTTAAACCTTCGTAGAAATTATTATTATTATTATTATTATTGTTATTATTATTATTATTATTATTATTATTAATATTATTATTATTATCCAGTAGGAGGAAGATAATTCAAGTTTGTCCGAAATATTTTACCCAACTATTGGCTTTACTATTTAAGTAACCACTAGCATAAAAAAAACACAAAAAAATTCCTTTTCGAAAATAAACATTTCTGATGAAATGATGACATATTTCATTTTTAATTTTCATTTATTTATTTTTTTATTCGTGAACGCGAATGGAAACAAGATGGCGGCGCTGGCCAGGCTGAGCAAGACGGCTTTTAGGCTTAATAATGGCGTTTTAAAGGCCGGTAATGGTGCTTTTGTGGCCAGTAATGGCGTCTTGGTGCCCAGGGCAGTGAGGGTAGTGGGTATATCCACGTCCAAGAAGAACAAGGACACCGTGACGGTCACGGACGCTGTGGTGGAGCAGCTCAAAGTTAAGACTGAAGAAACAACTGTGACTAAGGTACTGCTGCCCTTGTAGGTTTAGCGCTTCTTGATTATAATGTTGGCACGGTTACTGTTGGCACGGTTACTGTTGGCACGGTTACTGTTGGCACAGTTACTGTTGGCAAAGTTACTGTTGGCAAAGTTACTGTTGGCACAGTTACTGTTGGCACGGTTACTGTTGGCACGGTTACTGTTGGCATGGTTACTGTTGGCACAGTTACTGTTGTCACAGTTGCTGTTGGCACGGTTACTGTTGGCACGGTTACTGTTGGCAAAGTTACTGTTGTCACAGTTACTGTTGGCAAAGTTACTGTTGTCACAGTTACTGTTGGCAAAGTTACTGTTGTCAGTTACTGTTGGCACAGTTACTGTTGGCAAAGTTACTGTTGGCACAGTTACTGTTGGCAAAGTTACTGTTGGCACAGTTACTGTTGGCACAGTTGCTGTTGGCAAAGTTACTGTTGGCACAGTTACTGTTGGCACAGTTACTGTTGGCACAGTTACTGTTGTCACAGCTACTGTTGGCACGGTTACTGTTGGCACAGTTACTGTTGGCAAAGTTACTGTTGGCAAAGTTACTGTTGGCAAAGTTACTGTTGGCACAGTTACTGTTGGCACGGTTACTGTTGGCACAGTTACTGTTGTCACAGTTGCTGTTGGCACGGTTACTGTTGGCACGGTTACTGTTGGCAAAGTTACTGTTGTCACAGTTACTGTTGGCAAAGTTACTGTTGTCACAGTTACTGTTGGCACGGTTACTGTTGGCACAGTTACTGTTGGCAAAGTTACTGTTGGCACAGTTACTGTTGGCACAGTTGCTGTTGGCAAAGTTACTGTTGGCACAGTTACTGTTGGCACAGTTACTGTTGGCACAGTTACTGTTGGCAAAGTTACTGTTGTCACAGCTACTGTTGGCACGGTTACTGTTGGCACAGTTACTGTTGTCACAGTTACTGTTGTCACAGTTACTGTTGTCAGTTACTGTTGTCACAGTGTTACTGTTGTCACAGTTACTGTTATTCTTGCTACCTGACAACTTCATATATACACTGTAATAGGTACTATAGTTAGTTGTCACAGTTACTGTTGTCAGTTACTGTTATTCTTGCTACCTGACAACTTCATATATACACTGTAATAGGTACTATAGTTACTGTTGTCACAGTTACTGTTATTCTTGCTACCTGACAACTTCATATATACGTACACTGTAATAGGTACTATAGTTACTGTTGTTACAGTTACTGTTGTCAGTTACTGTTATTCTTGCTACCTGACAACTTCATATATACACTGTAATAGGTACTATAGTTACTGTTGTCACAGTTACTGTTATTCTTGCTACCTGACAACTTCATATATACACTGTAATAGGTACTATAGTTACTGTTGTCACAGTTACTGTTGTCAGTTACTGTTATTCTTGCTACCTGACAACTTCATATATACACTGTAATAGGTACTATAGTTACTGTTGTCACAGTTACTGTTATTCTTGCTACCTGACAACTTCATATATACACTGTAATAGGTACTATAGTTACTGTTGTCACAGTTACTGTTATTCTTGCTACCTGACAACTTCATATATACACTGTAATAGGTACTATAGTTACTGTTGTCAGTTACTGTTATTCTTGCTACCTGACAACTTCATATATACACTGTAATAGGTACTATAGTTACTGTTGTCACAGTTACTGTTGTCACAGTTACTGTTGTCAGTTACTGTTATTCTTGCTACCTGACAACTTCATATACACACTGTAATAGGTACTATAGTTTTCTGTTGTCCGTTACTGTTATTCTTGCTACCTGACAACTTCATATATACACTGTAATAGGTACTATAGTTACTGTTGTCAGTTACTGTTATTCTTGCTACCTGACAACTTCATATATACACTGTAATAGGTACTATAGTTACTGTTGTCAGTTACTGTTATTCTTGCTACCTGACAACTTCATATATACACTGTAATAGGTACTATAGTTACTGTTGTCAGTTACTGTTATTCTTGCTACCTGACAACTTCATATATACACTGTAATAGGTACTATAGTTACTGTTGTCAGTTACTGTTATTCTTGCTACGGACAATTTCATATACACACTGTAATAGGTACTATAGTTACTGTTGTCAGTTACTGTTATTCTTGCTACCTGACAACTTCATATATACACTGTAATAGGTACTATAGTTACTGTTGTCACAGTTACTGTTGTCAGTTACTGTTATTCTTGCTACTTGATAACTTCATATATACACTGTAATAGGTACTATAGTTACTGTTGTCACAGTTACTGTTGTCAGTTACTGTTATTCTTGCTACTTGATAACTTCATATATACACTGTAATAGGTACTATAGTTTATACTTGGAGGTTCGACATATTAATCTTCTAAATTTAACTACATTTTTATTTATATATTTCAGAACTGGATCAGTTGGGGCTTCAGTTACGACTCGGAAGTCGAAGACAACACAGTAATGCATCTCACGTTCTTCTTCGGTGTAACTCTGTGTATGGTGACTATAGGATTCGTCTGGGCTTACCTGCCAGATTTCAGGTTCGACTACTAATGACTCACGAAATCATAACAGGATTTCGAAATATGGAACGGGTGGGGTTTGAACCCTTGACCTGGAGTTTTACTAGTCGCTCGCCATGGGTTTAAACTCCACTCATTCCATGGTTTGGTTAGACTACTAATGTGTCCTGAAGGCTGTTACGACCTTATGCTATACAGTCAGGTCTCGATTACTGCAAATAATGAATCCTGTGAAGTGGTCGTATTATTCAAATTTGCACTGTTTAAATTATATATAATTTCTGCTTACGAATCGAAGAGTTTGTGGAAAAACTAAAATTAATTATTGTTATAATCATGGAGCATTAAACCCATAGGGATTATATGTTGCCTGTAAGGGAAAGGGATGGAAGGTATTCAGGCTCAATTCAGGGAACTGGAGCATAGATCAAATTCCCTAGATCAAGAGCCCCTGACCAGCATGAAGGAACCTCCCTTGAAGGGCTAGCATCAATTAATTTTGCAGTGAATTAAAATTTACACTGTTTGAGTTCACACTAATCAAGACCACCTTGACGTACGACGGTTCGACGTGTAATATTTTGACTTTACGATGGTGAAAAGCAATTACTCTGGAGATGAATCTCAAGATAATTACCCAGCATGAAGGCGGCAAGTCCGTAACTTGTATTCATTTATTTACTCTTCAATGCTGGTATTTATTTAGTTACAGTAATTATCTGTTTATTTACTTATTCAATAACAGTAGTTATTTATTTACTAAGCATATTGTGTTCGACTTTGCTATTTTTGACTTACAGTGAGTTTCTCAGAATGTAACCCTACAATGTTTTTACTTACAAAGTCATAATATTGGTCTTCGAAGACCTCACAATGTACATTCAAATTGTTTGTTTATTTACCTCTATCTTCAATTTGAGGATTAATTGTAACTTTTTTAGAATTACACCATGGTAGAAATTTCTTATGATTACTGGTGTAAAATATACAGTAGAACAGGTCTCAAACATGTACCTTTGAAATACCTTTGAAGTTTCAAGAGTCTCTCAACTATGGGCCAGGCTTGTCCAGCTCGTACTGTATATTGTTCTGCAGGAAGTACAAATTACCCATTGTAGTATCTATTTGTCCTGAATTTATTATTTATTACTGCAGAATGATCGATTGGGCACAGCGTGAAGGGTACTTGGAGTTGCGCCGGAGGGAAGCAGAAGGCCTACCACTAATCGACCCCAACCTTATTAGTATTGAGAAGATAGAACTACCATTGGATGAAGAACTTGGAGATACAGAGATCATTATCTGAGAGAATTTCAGGCCTATACTGACTTTGTTTCACATTTTTTGGTATGCCTGTAAATATTTATATTGGATTATAATTCAAAAAGTAATATCTTCTTGGTTTGTAAATATTAATGTTTAAAATAAAACTGTGTGTGCTCTTATCAGTTTTATTTGATTACTTTCCATATCATATAATACAGTGGAACCTCAGATTTCGTCCTTAATCCATTCCAGAAGGTCGGTCTAAATCCAAAACAGACGAAAACCGAAGCAATATTTCCCATAAGAAATAATATAAATACAATTAATCCATTCCAGACACCCAAAAATATTAACAAAAAATACATTTTTTAAAGAATAATTATAGTTTTACATACAGAAAACGATGGGAAAGGAATATAAATGACTAATGAGATATATAAATGAACATTTAACATCATTGAAGGCTCTTGTTGGGGTATGGACGGCAAGGAGGGGAGAGGGAGGAGGCGAGGTTATTGTTTTGAAGGGGAATCCTCCTCCATAAGGACTTCAGGTATCAAAGCCCTATCTGGGGTTACTTCCCTTTTTTGTCTTTTACTGGCACAAGGACCAGCTTGAGAGTCACTGTACCTCTGTCACACTAAAAATCTGTCCAGAGAGCTCTGTTTTTGGCATCTCTTTAAGATTCGCCTAAAATGGGACAAGGTATTGTCAGTGAGCATGTTGCAGATATGGCTTGTATCAGCATGGTCAGGGTGATATTTTTCCACAAAAGTTTGCACCTCATTCCACTTTGCACAAATGTCCTTAATCACTGAAGAAGACCTCTTCCCCTCTCTCTTCCTCCTCCTCTGGAGCAATTTCCTCAGCTGTGGTCAGTTGCTGTTCCAGATGAAGGTCTTGCAGCTCTTCAGTGGTTAGCTCTTCACTGTGGTCCTCCACCAATTCTTCCACATCCTGGCCACTCACATCCAACCCCATGGACTTCCCCAGAGACACTATAGATTCCACAACAACCAGAGGGTCGACAGGGTCAGCCTCAAACCCTTCAAAATCTTTGTTGAGGACACATTCTGGCCACAATTTTCTCCAAGCAGAGTTCAAAGCCCTGGAAGTCACTCCCTGCTGAGCCTTACCTATAAGGCTTATGCAATAGAAGATATTGAAGTGATCCCTCCAGAACTCTCTTAGGGTCAATTCAATGTCTGAGGTCACTTCAAAGCACCTTTGAAACATTGCTTTCATGAATAGTTTTTTGAAATTAGAAATGACCTGCTGGTCCGTGGGCTGGATGAGAGGAGTGGTGTTAGGAGGCAAGAACTTCACTGTTATAAAATGGAAGTCCCTAAACAACTGATCTTCCAAGTTTGGAGGATGAGCAGGAGCACTGTCCAGTACCAAGAGGCACTTGAGCAGCAATTTATTTTCCTGGAGGTATTTTTTCACACTCGGGCCAAAAAATTAATGGACCCAATCAATGAAAATTAGCCCGTGACTCATGCCTTATTATTAGCTTTCCACAGCGCACAATTTACTCTTGACAACATTATTCTTCTTGAAAACACTGGGATTTTCAGAGTGATACAACAGTAAAGGCTTCACTCTGAAATCCCCACTAATATTACCACAGAACAAAAGAGTTAGCCTGTCTTTCATAGGCTTGTGTCCTGGCAGTCTCTTTTCCTCCTGCATGATGTAGGTCCTCTTTAGCATTTTCTTCCAAAAAATGCCTGTTTCGTGACAACTAAAGACATGTTGAGTGATGAATCCTTCAGCCTCTACGTACTCCTTGAATTCGTGAATGAATTCTTCGGCTGTACATTTGTCTGAACGTGCAGCTTCACCATGCCTTACCACACTGTGTATGCCACAACACTTCTTGAAGTGCACACACCCATTCTCTCATGTGTAGGCAACTCAGGCATATCGTACCAATGTTGAATGAATGACAAATGAAACATATATATATACGTTTGGGACGCTACATGAGAGAATGTGTACATATACATTTGGACCGTTTAAGGATTTTATACTCCACATCACTGCAGTACAGTGGACCCCCGGTATTCGATATTAATCCGTTCCTGAGAGCTCATTGAATACCAATAATATCGAAAACTGAATCAATTTTCCTCATAAGAAATAATGGAAATCAAATTAATCCGTGCAAGACACCCAAAAGTATGAAAAAAAAAATGTTACTACATGAAATATTAAGTTTAATGCAAGAGAATAATTACAATAACAATAAAATAATTGACACTTATCTTTAATGAAGATCTGGTGATGATTGATGGGATGGGAGGAGGGGAGAGGTGTTAGTGTTTAGAAGGGGAACCCCCTTCCATTAGGACTTGAGGTAGCAAGTCCTTTTCTGGGGCTACTTCCCTTCTTTTAATGCCACTAGGACCAGCTTCAGAGTCACTGGACTTCTGTCGCACAACATATCTGTCCATAGAGGTCTGTACCTCTCGTTCCTTTATGACTTTCCTAAAGTGTTTCACAACATTGTCAGTGTAATAGTCACCAGCACGGCTTGCAATAGCTGTGTTAGGGTGATTGTCATCCATAATGGTTTGCACTTCAACCCACTGTGCACACATTTCCTTAATTTTTGAAGTAGGCACAATGGATTCCACAACTGGCATAGGCTTCTCAGGGTTAGCCCCAAACCCTTCAAAATCTTTCTTAATTTCCATACTAATTCTCAGCCTTTTTACCACAGGGTTGGCACTAGAAGCTTTCTTGGGGCCTATGGTGACTTATTTTGCAGAAACAAGCACCAAAAACAGTGATAATATGGATAATATGGAATGTACTGAATGTATCCTTAGATGCGCGCACACTGGCTGGCTTGTAAACACTGGCACACACGGGGCAGTTCAGACCACATGTGGACAGGTCTCGTACGAATCGTATCGAATACCGAGGAAAATTTTTTGCGATATAATGCATCGAATACCGGATTTATCGAATACCGATGCCATCGAATACTGGGGGTCCACTGTAAACTGTTATGTGCTCAAAATCACTTAAGTAAATTGTTCAGTATTAAACATCACTACAGTTGTCATTCATCACTACAGGATGCTGTCAATCATCACTACAAGATGCTGTCAGTCATCACTACAGGATGCTGTCAGTCATCACTACAGGATGCTGTCATTCTTCACTACAGGATGCTGTCATTCATCACTACAGGATGCTGTCAGTCATCACTACAGGATGCTGTCAATCATCACTACAGGATGCTGTCAGTCATCACTAAAGGATGCTGTCATTCTTCACTACAGGATGCTGTCAGTCATCACTAAAGGATGCTGTCAGTCATCACTAAAGGATGCTGTCATTCTTCACTACAGGATGCTGTCAGTCATCACTAAAGGATGCTGTCATTCTTCACTACAGGATGCTGTCAGTCATCACTACAGGATGCTGTCAGTCATCACTACAGGATGCTGTCATTCTTCACTACGGTATGCTGTCAAGTCATCACTAAAGGATGCTGTCATTCTTCACTACAGGATGCTGTCAGTCATCACTACAGGATGCTGTCAGTCATCACTACAGGATGCTGTCATTCTTCACTACAGGATGCTGTCATTCATCAATACAGGATGCTGTCATTCATCACTACAGGATGCTGTCAGTCATCACTACAGGATGCTGTCATTCTTCACTACAGGATGCTGTCATTCATCAATACAGGATGCTGTCATTCATCACTACAGGATGCTGTCATTCATCACCACAGTCAGCTTCACTACATTACTATTAACCCGTAAACGGTCCAAGCAGATCTACGTTCACATGTGTAGTGCTACAAAAGTAGATCTAAGCTTTTATTTACATATTTTCACAATATAAAAAAAAAAAAAGTATATCAAAGTTTTTTAAACATTTTCAAATGTAAAAAAACAAAAAGAAGATCTACTTTTTTTTACATATTTTCAAATGTTGAAAAAACGTATATATACGTTTGAACCGTTTACGGGTTAAAGAACCTTGAAGTAATATACTGTAGTTAAGACCTAGAAGTAATATAATATATTTAAGACCTTCAAGTACTATATTTAGGACCTTGAAGTACTATAATATAGTTAAGACACTGAAGGAGTGAAATCCTTGAGTGTGTCTAACTATAAGTGTATAGTCTAAGGTGAAGTAACTCAGAGACTTACTATAGCAGTATTAAATATCTTCTGCTCTTCGAGGGTAAGAAATACTTAAGGAGTGAATTCCTTCAGTGTAACTAACTATATTATAAGTGTATAGTCTAAAGTGAAGTACCTCAGAGACTTACTATAACAGTATTAAATATCTTCTGCTCTTCGAGGGTAAGAAATACTGAAGGAGTGAACTCCTTCAGTGTGACTATATTATAAGTGTATAGTCTAAAGTGAAGTACCTCAGAGACTTACTATAACAGTACTAAATATCTTCTGCTCTTCGAGGGTAAGAAATACTGGAGTGAACTCCTTCAGTGTGACTATATTATAAGTGTATAGTCTAAGGTGAAGTACCTCAGAGACTTACTATAACAGTACTAAATATCTTCTGCTCTTCGAGGGTAAGAAACCGTCCTCCAAAGATATTATCTTTAGTTGAAGACTAAGTGAAAGTCCAGAAGAACATCTTGAAACACAAGAGTCGCCAGCTGGAAGACCTCAATATGAAGAAATACGAGGAGAACATGCTGGTGGTCCTTGGATGTGAAAGAAACTACGTAGGCAGAGAAAGCTTTGAAAGCTTCTTGAAGGAAAATATTCTTATTTCCAAAGATCCTGAAGATTTTGTTTTCCGGATGGAATTAACTCAAGTACATGCAAAATACGAAGTCGAGGAAGGACTACGACTTGCTAATTCTATGGACTTTGGGAAACACTTAAGCACTTCTGGCATAGGCATCAAGAGAATGAGTGCCAGGTATAACTTTGAGTATGCCTATCAAGGAATGAGATGGATTGATACTTCTGGTAAAACTATTTATGAACGTAGTGTTAAGAGAAAAAAGCCTCTATTGGATGAAATTTCCCGAAAAAAACAAAAACTAGTAGACAGCAAAATGAAGAAGGAACAGGAAAAAACTAAAAGAGAAGAAAAAAGAATGGAGAAGGAAGGTGAGGAAGATTCAAGCAGTGACAAGGAACTGCCACCTTCCACAACTGAACCAGAAGTA